CCGGGGGAGAACAGGCGCCCAGGGCCCCACAAAAACGCCAGCAGAAACCAACTCGTCCCTAGAGGCTCCCAGGCTCCATCCGGGAAAACGCACGATCCAACCCCAGCTATACACTTCCATATCAATAACCATTCTAAACTCATTAATCCATGATGGTGGCGTCATGCTGCAGCCCACCCAGGATCTCAACATGTCGGGAAGCGAAAAATGCTCTAACATATTGCTGGCTGTCTCATATTATTATGTGCATGCTCTCGGCTTGCAGCCGCGGAGGCTCTCCCCGCCACCGCTCGCGAGCCTTCTGAAGGAAATGCATGTTGACTATGAACTCTGCGCTTACCAAATGAAAGCCGCGCGTGACCCAAACGAGAAGATCGCTTGCGCACTGGACAGTCGGAGCTGACTCCCAAACCCACCCTCGCTGCGCGCCCCCCAAAAATTCCAGCGGCGCGTCACTGACGAAACACGATTACTTGCAACACGCTCTTGACCGTATGATTAAGCACGCGCGCACATCCGCGGCCAAGGTTCACCCTGTTTCCTGGGAGCCTTGCTAGCTGCCGCCAGCTCCTGGTCTGGCATGGATGCGCACTTGATCAAAGGCAGGGGAAGGCGGCTCAACGCGTCGTTGAGATGCTGCACAATGGCCTCTCTTTCTGCCCGCGCGTCGAGGTCGAGGGCGCCCCACATCGGGTTGGCCCATGTGGCCGCGAAGAACACCTGGCGGTCAGCCGCATGGAGGCCGGAGAACCCTGGCTCTCGATACTGCCCTGGCCAGCGCAGCTCCTGCCAGGACTCCTGCGCGCGCGGGCTCGACACCGACGCGCCCTTCACGGCGCGGACGGCTGCGCCCGCCCCACGTGGTGGCGCAGCCGCGTCGGGGATGTCCGTCTGGGCCAATTTGAGCAGCACGTCGGGGTCGTCTGCTATGCGCCCCGCGTGGCGTTGATGCACCGCGAGGTTGACCCGGACGACCCCGCGCTGGGCCTCCCCGAGCAGGCTCGAAGACTTCTTCGAGGACTGCGCCGCGATGCCCGACGAGGCTTGGGCCGCGGACATCGCCGCCGCCAGCCCTCCATCCACGACGCGGCCCGCGGAGACTTCGGATCGCACCGTCCGCCGCCTGCCGGCGGCATGCTGGCCGTCCTCGGTCTCGCCGAAGATGCTCTCCGGGAAGTAGACGGCCAGCTGCTGCCCCGCCTCTCTGACCATGCGCGCGACGCCCTGCTGCTCCGCCTGGAACAGGACTCTCGAGGCGGCGACAACGTCCAAGTGGATTATGAGACTGGGCTCCGTGAGCCAGCGCCCCTGCTCCTTGATCTCCTGGAATGGGACGCCACGTGCCGCGGCATCGCCGGCGAAACCTGCGCGCGCCGAGTGCGGCGCCCAGTGGATGTCCAGGCGTAAGCTCTCCTCGACCTGCTCGAGTCTGCGCCCATGGTTGACGAGCGAGTATGAAATGATGAGGGCCGCTGGAGGCGCCCCCCGCATAACCCTGCGCAAGAGGCGCTCAAGGAGCCCGTCTCGTTCCGGCAGCATGGCGCACTGCATGCGCCTGGCTTCCGCCCACGCCTTTGCCCCCAAGTTCACGACCCAGTTTGGCTGTAGGTCTGGCCCTCCTCTCGATGATGGCAGTGATACGTCTTTTGCTCTGAGCTGCATAGCATCTCGGACGGGCGCAATCCTTGGCCCACCCAGAGCAGCAGTCCTACTGCCAGGCGCGGCACACCCAGGCAAGCAGAATACATCGCCACCAGGTTCGCCGGCGCCCGCCCTAGGGGCGGCGCATGCTTCACCTCTGCAGCGAACCTCCATGTTTCGATGCTTGAATGCGACCAGGTCAACTTCCTCCTCAAACGTGGGGAGACAAACTCCACTGCGGCCGCTGCGCACTCGAAGTTGCACTTGGTGAGCTTCTCGTCGTTCTTGTATTCGACCAGCAGATCATCCCACTGCTCGGGCCCGTCGGGGACAAAACCGCGTCTGTCCAGGTAGTTCACGAATTTCATCCTCGCCTCCGTGTAGGTGACTAGGGTGCGAGGCTTGACCTTCTCCAGAGACGCACTGTCAAGCCTGCGCGGCCCCGATATGAGCCAGGTCGCGGAAGTCAGCGACGTTGAGGCACCTCGACATCTGGTCGGTCAGCAGGTTGCCTGGTAGGTCTCCACCCATGGAATCCGAATTTCGAATTTTGGTGCGCGATGCCAGCGCTGCCGCTGTCTTCTGTCATAGCAGATGATTAAGATGGCGAGCTAGCGACCTGCCTTTGTTCACCGCTCCCGACGCCCCCCGTTTGTCTTCCAGCACGGGCAGCACTGTGCGATGTAGCTCCGGCGTGGCCGCCGTAACCCTGCTGATCTTCTCAAAGCAGCGGCGCTCCCCCATGGCGACGTGGTCGGCGGCAAGCCATCGCCCTTCTCCAACCACCGTCCACTCGTCATCGGGCTTGAAGACCCGGTCTGGCAAGAGACTGAAGGGCTTCGCACTGCGGATCACCTGCTCTGGCCGCCGTAGTCCCCGAAGCTCGCCGTCCAGACGTGCCGCCGCGAACCCCGGGCTTTTCCCCGCGTCGATGCAGTGTCTGGCGGTGCCCTTGCTCACGTCGGCCGCCAGTATCCCCCTGCCGCCGTGGCCCAAGTCGCCGGCGCCCATCGCGTCCGCCGCGAAGTACACCGGAGCGTGATTGGCCCCCGGGTCGGCGCATATCAGGGGCACAACGTTCGCCGCGGCCCCCGGCCCCCCTCGCGCCGACATCCAGGGCCCCACCCCCTGCTGATGGTAGCGCCCCAGTAGCCTGAACACAGCGCCGGGGATGCACGACACTTCTCTCCTCGGAAGGGCCCCGAGATCTACGCGCCAAGCAGCGACCTGAGATCTTCCGTGAACGCCAGCTTCGCCGTCGCCATCGCCTCCAGCTGCGTCGCCAGCTCTCGTGCTCGAGCGGGTGGGGGCCGCAGCTGGGCGGGGGCCCACTGCGGGGGGTAGCCCGGCACTTTCTGCACGTCCACGGCCTCGGTGCGATCCGTCACCGCGAACCCCGCCTCGGCGAGCGCGCCCGCCAGCACGCGCCTCGTGGCCGAGGCCGCGCCGCCCCCCAACGACCCCCTCGCCATCGCCACCCAGTCGTCGACGCGCGGACATAGAAAACCATCGGCGGGCCGCGCAGCACCAGACCACGACCTCTGATCACGCCGTCGTTCCTGAGCGCCACCGCCGGCCCAGTGGCACCGCGCTCGCCCCGCGCCACCACCGCCCTGTCCGCCCCGGGCAGCCTTCGCCACCCCGCGCCCCCCGTGCCGTTCTCGCTGAAGTGACCCAGCGACGCCAGCACCAGGTCGCCCAGCTTCTCGCGCATCTCCGTCGGGCACTGGGCCAGGGGACCAGCGCGGAAGGCGCCGTCCCCCAGCTTGCCCTCGGAAGACTCGCGGGCGCGAGCTCCGTCGCAGCGCAGTCCGTTCTGCCGGTCAAGTCCGAGCAAGTGGGCTTCCTCGCCCGTCCGCCCAGCATGCGCCAGTCCAGGCATGCCCCGGCAGCCCCCCGTCGCTGCTCGAGCTCTTGCACCTCCGTCGCACTCCACGCTGATAGGCAGGGCGCGCGCCCTTGGTCCTTGGGGTGCTCCACGGGGAAGACGCCGCCGCATCGGCCGCGTGGCTCGCAAAGCGCCGACAGGTTCAGCGCCAGGGCGCTGCTCTCTGCCACCCCCACGCCCGCAGGCCCGGCAGGCCCCGCGGGCGGAGCCTTGACCGCGCCAGAGGTGGGCCTGGTCGTCGTTGGCCGTAGCGGGCCCGAGACCAGGTAAAGCACGGGGGGCCGCCGAGCACCGCGTCGACCCAGCCCCCCTCGCACGTCTCCATCAGCGACGGGAAGATGGCGGCGCATGCCAGGCCCCAGCGGGGGTCGCCCGCTGCGTCCGCCGAGAGGAAGAAGACCAGCAGGCCCCTCTCCTTGGCCCCCCCCACACCACTGCCTCCGCGTCGCTCTCCCGCCGGCGCCCCGCAAGCAGGTGCACCGCCACCAGCGCGCGCCCCACCTCTCGCTTCGCCACCTTCACCGCCGCGACCCACCCCTCTACTCCGAAACCCCGCCCCCGCGGGGGGCGGCCCTGCACTTCGCCCCCTGGGCCGCCCTGTCGTCGTCGCATCGGCGCGACTGCTCCGCCTCCTCGGGCCCGTCGAGCCGGCGGGCCCCCAGCCCCCCGCCCTCGGGCTGCGAGGTAGTCTCTCCGCTCGAGCCCCCCCCCGAGCGCCGCGAGCCGCGCCCGGCAGCGCTGAGCAGGCGCACCGAGCGCGAGCCGCCCATGACCAGGCGGCGGCAGCAAGGTGCCACCCAGTCTGCGGGCCCCAACTGGTCCTGGAGTCGTCTGCTCAGCTTCTCCCAGACCCGGCGCGCTCGGACGGGCGGACGCGCGCGCCACCGCGTCAGCCAGGCTGAAACCCGCAGCCGCGTAAAGGCACTGTTCCCGTCGAAGGCCGCCACGCCCCGCGCGCCCGTCGGCGGGCACGTCGAGGCCGACGCCGCCCCGCCGTGCATCCCGCGGTCGCCTCTGACGCGGGGGTCTTCCCGCCGTAGTCCAGCACGTCCCCCCCTCTCTGCAGAAGGCCCGCTCGCCCTCTGGCAGCGCCCCCAGCAGGTCACCCGCGCGGTCGCCCTGAGGCCCCGCATGGCGAGCGCGCCCAGAGCAACATGCTTGGGCGATTCCCTTTCAATCTCCTGCGCAGGCGCCCTGCGCCCCTCGCCTTGAGTCGAGCGCCGTCGGTCGACGGCCCGTCGGGGAAGGCCCCCGGCAGTCGCGCCCGCACCTTGCCGCGCCCTGCAACGCGCTCTGCTGCGCGAGCCTCCAGGCCAACATCTTCTGCTCGTCGTCCGTCCCTCGTCGGCCCGGTGGTCTCGTTCCCAGGGGGCCACGGCCCATCCCGTTCATGAGCTCGATGAGCCCGCAGGCCCGACGCCACGCGCGCGCGCGTCGGGCCACCCTCGCGCGCGGTCTGCCCGACGAGGGC